TATATATATATATATATATATATATATATATATATATATATATGTTATTACGTACAATTATGTTATCGACAAATAGAACTAAAGAAAAAATCTGAATCCATTTAGAGCACATTTTGTTTTAGAAACGAACTAATGCGCACTTTTTGTCCAGGCTTGGTAAAGTTAGGGTTAATGTTGCAGAGTTCTTTGAAGTAAGGTTTAATTTATAATATAATAAAAAGATGGCAGGGTCAGTGACCAATAGCGCTCCATTTATACATACTTCACTTTTTTGTAACGTGGCGCGTCAAGGCCTTTGTAAAAACCAAAGCATAGAATGCCCTCTTAGGTCAGTGACCAGTGGTCACAAGGTGGTCTGTAACCACCAGGGAGGCAACTATGAGTGCAACTTGAACAGAGCTCGAGTTATCTATTAAAAAAAAAACTTTACATTTAAAACTACTAAATTGTTAAATACCTTTACTCAAAGAGTAATTCCACTTCGAGGATAACTAACATCTGCCTCTACTCACTGACTCAGAGGCCGAGGGTGATGCGTTTGGCGTGGTATCGCGTGGTATTTATGTTGTCTGTGGGGTTCTATACAGAGGCAAAGAGGTAATAGAGAAATTCGAGAACCGAGAAGATCCGGAAATGAGATTATAAGGAATATAAGACTCTCCTACGTGACTAGCAATACTCAATTATATTGTGTGAATCCATTTCATGAGTGCTAATTGGAAAAATACACGATGTGGGCGGATACCCTTTTGATATTATTTATATCAATTTGCACGGCCTTGCTTGGAGAAGGTAATCAGTTTTAATTTCTGTGTTTAGTAATGTAACAAATGTATGGTGATAACGGATACCCGATACAAAATAAAAAAAATAATTGTAAATCTAGTCACCCCGCCTCGAGAGTTGCATATGTAGGAAACTAGCTAATTTTCACTTTTGAAGCAAATGGCTTGCCATTGTTCATTATGAGATTTCTTTGTTGTTTTTTTTAATTTTGCGGATTAAAGTTGTATAGACTCGAGGATATTAATAAATTGCATTTTTAATTAAAATTTATAAGTGGGGTGTATATTTATTACAACACTTAGGTTCTGACATTTTTGAAGTGAGAGACCCAAAATACAGCGAGATGCTGAAAGTTTACCTCAAGGAAAACCCACTGACTTAAACTAATAAAAATATGCCCTAAAATTTGTTATGAATTAATTGATAAAGAGAAAAATTATGCATGCTTCTAACCCCATTCCGTATGCATTAATTTAAGGTTATTTTTAATGAAGTTTTACAAATAGAATAAACTTCTCAATGTGATCATTGTTTCAATTTACTGAATTCATGTTTCATTATTTGAGCTACAATTTGGACCCAATTTCCCTTATGCCAGATCAGAATTTTCCAGATTTTGCTAGAAACAACATCAGGGTTAGAGCACAGCCAGTTAGCCTACCTAAAGTTTATAGACACACTGTTCTTACATCTCCTGTAGAAAGTTTTTAATTCCAATTCTTTGGAACATTTCATGCAACGTTATATTTGACGAGTTTTCTCAATTTCATTTCCAGTGTCTTTAATGCAAAGAGATGTATTTTAATGATGTATGTAAGATCTGTATTTTAGTGTTTAATACATTGAACAATCAAGAAGAAATATGCATACTACTTTTGATATCTCCACTGAAGAGATTAAACCATAATCTATGAATGAGACCCAAATCAAAAACACAATACAATCAAAACATTATATTGTTTGTGGAGTTCTTATTTCTTTCTTTCTGTAATGCAAGTATACATACCGAAAAGCTAAGTTAATTTGTGGGCTAAATTTATGTAGAAAGTCTACAGACTCTATTACGTTCAGATTTGTACATTGAGTGTTTATTTTGTGTAAAATGACTTTTCAAACAAACTAACTTTGGAACAATTGTCTACTCCATATAAGCTACAGATAAATTTAAGAGTGTGAATGAGTTATTTTGGAGTATTTGGGTGTTGTGTAAATAAAAGTAATTTTACCAAAGTTTCTGACACAAATTTTGGAAATTAAGAGATTGTAACTTTTAAAACAAATTATTATTATTATTATTATTATTATTATTATTATTATTATTATTATTATTATTATTATAATATTTTTTTCTTTCAATTCATCAAAACCAGAGCAAAATATTTTTTTTTCCTTAAACAAAATGTTCAGAATTTTATTTAAAATTTTTTCATTCTTTTTTTTCTCTCCAAGCAATTGCATGACCTTAATTTTAAAGGTAATTTTATCTTCAAATATTTTTTAATTGTTCAAAAATTGTTTGAAAGTGGAGATGCTCTATTTGAATCTATTCAGTTTTTTTTCCTTTCTCCAATTTATTAATTACCTCAAAAACAATACTTTCTATAAAATTAGTTAGTGCATTGACGTGTCAAGAAATGGTAATTTTAAATTTGTGTAACTCTAAAAACATCTTTTATAAATACATCAAAATTATTTATATTGGAGTATTCATATTTTTTATTAATTAGTGTAAAAATAATTATATATTTTGAATTTTTTTGGTCAGTGATACAATTGGAAAGGTTGAGGATTAATGAAATGAGACGCTTCTTTAACTAACAGTTAGATCAGAGTTGATTTGTTTTATAAAAAATTCATGCCAAGATGATTTAACAAAACTTGTATACCACTTTCTTATAGTTAAAATGCGTTGTCATGAGTTGCAAATGTTTGTTTGCACCTGGATCCAAGCCCTGTTGTTAGCTAACGAAGTATGTAACATTGCATTGTGTTGGTTTTCACTGTTTATTCCAGTTATAACACACATAAGATTAATGGACTATTAAGTATAGGAACATTGGTATGAACATATTTGTTGACTGACATTTAGATTTGGGGGTTTGTGTTACATAAATAATGACAGCCTTAAACATCACATACAAACTATAAATTGAACTATTTTAGTATCATTCTGGATGAACAACTAACAGCAGAGGCCGTAAGTTATATCACAAAAACTACAATTTTGAGGGTTAACATCTTTTATACATGAGCCCTTCAAATTTGAGTAATTTGAAAATATTAAATTGATGGTTTAAAAAAGTAATATTAAAATTACTTTTTCAGGATTGACATGGCTAATGGTATATAGAACTGAAAAGTACCAGAAATTGAAGGCTGAGGTGGAGAGGCAGAGTAAAAGATGTGAGTTCCTTTCAGTTTCTAGTGGGAGGTGGATTTTTGTTGCAAATTTTGGTTATAATATAATGGTAAAAATAATTGATGAAATTATTTTTTTTACTGTCAGTGGAAAAGAGGAAAGAAGCTCATGGCGATTCTCTTGATAAGCAGCATAAGAAAAAAATTGAAAGAGAAGAAGAAAAATTGAAAAACAATAATCGGGACTTATCTTTGGTGAAAATGAAGTCTATGTTTGCTATCGGTTTTGCTTTCACAGCTCTTCTGAGCATGTTCAATAGCATGTGAGTTACAGTTTGAATTTTTAATTGTCATAACTGATCTTCTCTGTTGGTTTTCACCTACAATTATTGTGGGGAGTTGAATTTCTTAATTCTGCAATGTAAAATAAGTCTTATTTTTTAGTTTTGATGGTAGAGTTGTTGCACGTCTTCCATTTGTGCCCATATCATGGATTCAGGGCTTGTCACATAGAAATCTGCCTGGAGAAGATTATACAGAATGCTCATTCATTTTTCTGTACATATTGTGTACCATGTCCATCCGACAAGTAAGTATATTTAGAGAAAAGTAGATTTATTGAACATTTTTTGATAAAAAAAATGAATAAATGAATATCTTTCCAGAATATACAGAAGATGCTTGGTTTTGCTCCTTCGAGAACTGCAAGCAAGCAGAGTGGTAGTATTTTTGGGCCTCCTCCACAACAGTTTAAATAGATACATTTTCAGTCTTTGTCCAAGGATGATTTTTATTTATGTGGAAATGTTTCTGGAATGAATTTGAATGAGTTGTACATATTGCAACAACAATGTTGATAATGTATTATAACTTGGCTGGGTGTGCTGTTATAATAAATGATGAAATGTTTGACTGATGACTGAAATTTTTACTTTTTAACTTTACCTACAAGTTTATACTCACATTAAAGCATGATCTACGTTGTTGATACAATTGAACTTGCGAACATTGTTTGGTTCGTAATTTACATTTAATTTTGCTCAATTTTTTTAGTGGAATCCTGTAATTTTCAGGATGTTACATTACAAAACATTTATAACTATAAAATTTTGCACTTCTATAAGTAGTTGCCATTGAGAGCAGTAGCTATAAATGTGCATAAGGTTAGATCAAGGCTTGGAGAGAGAAAGAAATTTAAATTTAGACATTGGGAAAACACAGGGAGGGTTGGAAATAAATAAATTTGAATTTGGACAGTGGATAGAGCAGTGAGGGTAGTAGAGAGCTACAAGAAATGTTTTCTAGAGTATGAACGAAACACTTATGAATGCTGGAGTTACCAATTACTATGTATTTTATACAACAAATTATTAAATGTATTAAAAATTTGGTTACTTTCTGTCGTGAAGTTCAATTTGTGCTTCTGGGTACATTAAAAAAAAAATTATGTCTTGATCAAATTCTAGGTGTTTTAGAATGGGAATTTTGTCATAATCTAGTGATTCTTTTGTTTCTATGACATTAGGTCTAGTTTTATTGTAGATTGACCTATTTACATGAGATCAGTGTTTGCAAGAAATTTGTTTTGGTCAAATCTGTCTTAATATTGTTAGTTAAAAAAGAAACTTGGAAGCATCATTTATTATTTCTTTCTTTTTTGTCTATATGGTGCCTACGGTAGTCCAGACTTTTCTTAATATATTGTCGATAAATCTCTTAGGACCATTATTAAGAGATATATACAAATATTTTTCAAGTTTTGTCCATGTTATCTTTTATTATAAAGTTTCATCATTTTATCAACAAAGCCATGTGTAACTCTTATTTTATGCTATACAATGGATGTAATGCTTTTAATTTTTAATTTCATACCAATTTAATAATTCATAAAGCGAAATTGGTTACCTACCAATTTCCAATTGTTTTCTTGTGCAGCAAAAATCCATGTTCTCAAATTCAGCCTGCTGTGAAGTTATTGTAACTACTTAGTGAAAGACATATTCTGTTCTTATGTGATGTTTAGAATTAAGGTAGATTCCTATACTGCAGTTAGCAATTGAGAAGTAAAATTGACCACTGTAAGAAAATTAGATTATGGAAGGTAATTTCCTTAGATGAGAAAGAACTCTCGTGGAAACAAATTTTACCACTTTTGTCCTTTAGTTATTTGTAATATATGTTATTGGAACTTTGGCTCCAGGCCAGCCAATGTTCTATTTGACAACTGAAAATGTTACTTGGTCAGGTTGTTCAAAAATGATTAACTAAAAAAGTTCTGTTTCTGTTGATATGAAATTAACTTAACAAAAAGGTAGTAGTACTATGAGCATTTAACACCATTAAGCATTTCTTGGATCTCAAGTTTCCATTTCAGTCTGTCTAAGCAGTATTCTATCCATCATCTTCTACACTTCTTCCTGCCTTATACTTTTGTGAAGTTGCCAATTCCAGTTCTTGTGAAGCCATGGTTCTTCACCCATTAAAGTCCAATGTACCTCATTTGAGTTTGCTCATTTCTGTTCAATTAAAATTGCTTCTTTTGCACTAATTAGGGTATTTTATTTCTTCATTAGATGTAGATATCTAAACATATTAGCAAGTTTTGAAATTTCTGCATGCCAAGATGTTGATATGACAAGTTGGTAAAGCATTGTTTGCTCCTGGCCAGGAAGTATTCACGACTTGCATCAGTTTGAATCTTCTTCTAAAATGCTCCACTTCAGGAGCATTGTCATTTAGAACATACTTACTTATAAAAACCCATCTCTACTCCTTGTATTTTAAAAATCTAATGTTAAAATGTTGTTGATTTCTCATTGATGAATGTTCAGCTCTTAAAAATCTATATCTTGTAGATATAGCAATTGACACACCTTCCTTTACTCAAATTTATTTATTTATCCCATTAAAAACATTATCTTTAACCCTTTTAACTTTCTCCCTACGGAATAGAGAGAAAGTTATGTAATGCAGCATGAAAAAGCGGTGAATTTTGAGCAGAAAACTCTTTTTACAGGGCCCAGTTAATGATAAATCCAGCTGCTAAATTTAGGTGGGTAAAAATCCTGTCATGTAGTGTAGCCAGAATCCATGTTTGTAGGACCTTGATAACAAAAAATCAAATGCCAGCAAAATGTCTGTGTCTGTGAACAAAGCCTGTGGCTAAACTGTTCAGCCAATTTTCTCCAAAATTGATGTTCCTCAATTGATCTGGCACATGTTGCGGCCCCCTGAATTTGAAACAGATTTTTTCAATTCACTTTTCATGAAATCCCTGGAACATTTTTGATATTTTCAAAAAAAATGGCTACATTGTTTTTTATTAAATTTTGTTGTTGGATAGTGGGAAGGGCATTTAAGAGAATGGTGCAGGTTTCATGTTCGTTATAAACCCTGATTTTTCAAAAATTGCTAAAGTTCAAATTTTTTCAGTCTTTCTACAACTAAAATATTAAAGATATATTTTTAAGGAACAGATTTCATTAAGGGAAAAAATCTCTATTTCATATACATATGCTAGTAATGTGCTGTGGAATGGGAGGTGGAGTGGGGGTGGCTCATGGGGCTTCATATCTCCCCAGAAGCCATTGATACATACTAAAAAATGGTTTTATCAATTCTCTATGCCGAAGAATGTCATTCAATAAATCTATTATTAAGTTTATAAATATTAACTAAAATTCAACAAATAAAAATACATTTTATAATTAGCATAAATGAAAAATTCTTTATAAGAAAACATCAAGTTGGCTGGCTACTATACTTGTAGAAACAAGTAAAGCTACAAAGCTATGCTTCTACCAGTAGAGCCCCTGATTTCATAGGAGCACCTCAAGTTCTTCTCATGATAATTATTTAAATGGGATTGAAATCTAATATATAAATCGTTTGCTTGTTCATATTTTATGTTCTGCTGTACTGTTCATCTGATTGCAATCACATTTTGTCAACTTGCACTTGCGTGAAAAATATAGGCATAGTACAATGGGAATGTATATGTCTGTCATCCACAGATTCAGAATGAGGGCAATATTGATGATTTATGCATTTATGCTGATTCAAGCATGCCTGAATAGAAGCTTGCCGCATCCTCAAGTATTAAGCACTGCTTTGTTGCATATTCTGCCACTGCGATTGTGAAATATCAGCTGGAATTATTACATAAACGGTATATAAAAAATGCCAAGAGAGTGTCATAGCGAATGCATACCCAAAATTCAGGGAGAACGTTTTAACAACAGGATACTTCACAACCATGTCCAATTTAGAACATACAACAAATCCATACTCGCAAGAAACTCTTTCATCTGTTACAATTTTTGCAGAGCACACATTGCAATCACATGACCAGTAGCGTGTGAAGTGTTATACATTGCAATAGCAAAGCATTGCCGTTAGTGATAAAAACGAGAAAACTACAGGTTCTTTTCCATTAGTGCAATGAAACAAACAATTTTATACAATGTTTATTTATACTAATGACAACTTTACCATATATTATTTTCTAAAATAGGGTTTCCAGTAATAATTCGATCAAAACTCAATCTACTGAGGTCAATTGTTTTAAAACCACCATCAACAATCATCTCCATTACTGCACGCCCAACAGCTGGTCCATGTTGAATACCTGCAAAACATTATTATTACTATAGAGAAATACAGAAGTATCATAAAACATCATCATAGGGCTAGAGGTGCTACTAAATTAATAGGTTTCTTGAAAATCATACATGATTTTTCAAAATTAATGTTTGTGGAAGAAAGACCTATTTAATGTAGAACAAGCCTATTCATGCTTATTAGTACGGAGCGGATTTCTATGATTATGCATATTTTTGCGTGTTGCTTCAGATATAGCTAAGTGAAATTTCTTTACATTTGGTTAGAATTGGATGCTACGTGCACTAATATGTTAGTGCAATTTTGGCTGAGTTTTCCTGTTGGTACAAATTCATGTAATTTTAGGTGCATACTTTGCACATTTCATTAAAAAAAAGAAACTTATCTCTGAACTGTTGGTGGTTGTTTTTAAAATCTTTATTTGTGTGCGTTGATTGATTAGAAAGAGCTAATAATAAAAATGAAGTAATATTGTGAGATGAAAATACATGGACATTATGCTATCTTTTTTTTTCTATAAATGATATATTTGTGCAAATGTAGGATATTTCTTGATAACTTATTTTTTAAATAAGACAGAGGAAACGCAATGAGACGTGCAATATACTCAGAAAGGTGAATAGTTTTTAGAAGCGCATTTTCAAAACATTTTGGGGCATAAATGGATACCTGCCAGCAAAAACGTTGTAACCCCCAAAATGCAAATTTAGTGACACATGACTTTCATCCTCCATTGTTACGTTCATGCCCCTGTGTGACTCATGGTGAAATTAAAACAGAAGAAAAGAGGTGCTTAATGTTCATGTTTGCCTACATAGTTTCCTACATGCATCACTCAGACCACATACAATCTTTATGCAAGGAAACCCAGCATTCCGGAAAAACGTCTTTGCCGGCAGGTATTCAAATAGCCTCTTCGCACTTATCAGTTAGATAATATACTTCAGTTGCAATCTGCTAATATATTATAACAGAACTGGAAAACTGCCTATGAAATCTTTAGTTTAGTTCATCAACTGGGAGTAAGGCCAATATTAATGAGTGAATGTTTTTAATGACTGAAATCCACGTACGCAGCATTTAAGTTGCTTTTCTGTTAAATTTAGAAAACCTGATTCAAGGCCCTTTTTTCACCACACTTCATTCAATTTTTTTAGAAACTTATATTTCCGTCATACTAATATTTTAACTGAAAATGCATATTTCTACAATTATTTTTAGAAACTTCTGAAATTTCAGTAGCAATATGAGATTATTTGAAGCTTTTGTAGTAGTAATAGTAGTAATAATAATTAATAATAATAATAATAATAATAATAATAATAATAATAATAATAATAATAATAATAATAATAATAAATTTGGTATACAAAACAAACATGTTTGAAGGAGTAACCCCTCACCCTCCTTTCTCAGAATCAGGGTCCCCAAAAACACCCCTATCAAAATATTGAGATCAAGGTTTTAAAGAATTACACAACTTTCTGTTCATATTATGCACATGTGAAGGAAAATGATATTTATAACTCACCATGGCCACTGAAACCAGTTGCCAAATACAAGTTTTGGTAATAAGGGTGAAGTCCTACAATACCATTGGCATCAAAGGTGTTGTACTCATAAAACCCTGCCCATGCTGAATTCACCTGTAATTCATAAAATCATTAGGAGTCAAAATTTTAGCATTTCACAATATTATGGAATAATTACCTTAAGACCTTCAAAAGCTTTTACTCTTTTGGCTATATGTGGCCAAACGTGGTCATCAAAAAATTGGTGGTCTACATCTAAATTTTCTGTGCTAGGTTCTTTGTCTACATCAGGTGACCTTCCACCAATAAAATTGCCTGCAAGGCCTTCTCGCCTGAAAAGAAGAAAAGAAAATGTTATAACAATGACAGAGTAATTACAGTAACCCCCCCTTTACACTTTTCATGGGATCCTAGGAAATTTTTTTTTTTTTCTGGCGAGAAGTGTAAATAAGGGGAAATGATTTTTTTCTTCGAAACTATGTACAATGTATTAAGATACATACAATCAATAAGGTTTATAATAATATGCAGTATTAGATAATAATCAAAATTAAAAAATCAAAATAGAAATAGAAATCCGACAAAAATTTGACATCGGAAATCAAAGGTATATTAACCTGAGCACAATGAATTTTCAATGGCGCAATGACATTTCCACAAGTCCCTGCATTTCACTGATCGTAGCCTTTGATGATGCAACAATGCACTCATTGTTGAATAAAGAGTAATGGTATTTCTGTTAGAAAAATGCAAAGTTAAAATTTTCCCGAACTCATAAAATTATTGTTTTGGCAGTTCATAATGATTTCCAAGTAATTTTTTAATTAATTAATTTATTTATTGATGATACAATAGGAAGAATGTTCATAAAACTAATTTACAGTTAAAAACAGAATTCCATACTTTGATGTTTGAACTTTTAAAGATTGGGAAAAAATTAGGTTTATTTTAAAATGAGAAACTGGGGAAATTGTGAAGGAGGATGACATAAAATATGCTCAAGCTACAAGACAAGATAAAGTGTGTTTTCTAACTTTCAACAGCAACAACGCACGTTGCCAAGAGCACTCGTGCGTCATTTGGCGTAAGGTACAGTGTTAATCTACCACACGCGTTAAGTGACTCGTGTGCGCTGGCTTCGTTGCAGCTGGCATCCTCAGCATTAGGTGACGCGCGTCAACTCAACTCAACTCAACGCAACGTTCGTAAGGTACAGGCCTTATATTCTATCAATGCAAGTTACCCATTTTTTCTACCTTTTAAAATACCACTGTAATGTAACAAAATGAAAATTTTTATAGGCCTAGCTGCTCAATAATGATTTTCACTAAATTTAAATCTTCTGGCAAAATCCGCCTGTCTGAGCTTTTCTTTTTCACAGAACACAAACTGAAACAATTTTTATTAGAAAGTTACAGCTCTAGTTTTGGTCAGAGTGGGATTCAAACCTGGGAAATACACCACTAGTATGCTGTCCATGAGCCACCTGGGGGCACTACCAATCAAAAATCCAATCTGAGTATAATATGCTAAGAATGGATTAAAGGTTTTCATAATTTAAAATAAACCATTGACACAAAACCCTGTAGGTGTGCTATTGCTAAATTATTCCCGTCCTGCATCAAACACATTTAAGATTTTAAAAAAAGTGTGTAGATTATGGCAGAGGGAACAAAATTACAACACATCAAAATCACATACAGCTAGTAAACAATGCATCCTAGGCCTTTAAAATGAGTCTTTTTGTTTTCCAAGGACATAAATTTTGAGGGGACAGGTGAGTTTTATGATGATATATGTTTTGGGAGACAGGCAAGGGACAAAAGAGGCCCAAGTTGTTTTTTTAGAAGTATTCTACAAAAAGAGACTTTTTAAAACCTACTATTACATTTTTGGACATTTAGCTCTCCTGGAAACCGTTTCCATAACACTGATGGATCATTTTACAAAGTGCAGAATGTTCACATGGGTAGAGCCAGATTTATTCTAAAAATCATATAATTTGACAGTTTAATTCTTAAAAATTACATAAAACTGAAGCCACAAGATACACTTATTGAAATTTGAATAAGCTGAAACAGTAACTGACAGCAAACTATTTATAAAAATCAAAGAATGCAATGATAATGGAACAGAAAGGGATTAATAATATCACATTCATGATATAGTACTAAAATAATTTTTTCTCTTTTTTAGAATTAATTTAAAATTTCATAATAATATGTCTGAAACAAATATATTATTTTATGTAAATATGATATTAATGAAAATAAGTATCAGGTCCACCTGCAAGACTTTTGACCCTGAATTTCAACAAAAATGGAAAAATTATCCCCTTTTTCATTACCAGGGCTCTGCTGTAAGAGTTCTTCTGTTTGAAATTCACCGTTTTACAGTGCACAATTACAATATTTTCTCTTCTTAAGAAGTAAGGGTGAGAAAGTAAAAATGTATGTTTAATTATGAGTACTATTATAGTATGACAGCTTTTGTTGTGATTTATATTCTGATACATTTCCATAGGCATTTCTGATACCAATTGCATTGACTAATCTTAGAGTATAAGCCATAAAAACTGAATTTTTATTGAGTTGTTCTAATAAATAAAATACAAGAATGTGGACCCACCTGAAATATGCTCCTGTAGGATCAATTGTAAGAGGAGTGTTGAGCCCAGGGCCATTTGGACAGTTGAAGGCATATACATATCTCTTCCTATTGCAGTGGGGAAAAAAACAATAAAAAATTCAAGATTATATTAGTACCTAATTATTATAATCATTTGTTAAAAATATACCGTGGTTCTACTGGCAATGGGAACTGTAGATAGCCAGCTCCGTTCCCAATTCGTGCCATTTTGGCCACTGCTCCAGATTGAGGACCTGCAGCTATAACACATAGGCCAAATTTTATGGGATGTATGTCTCCAGATGGAGTTTTTATCTACAGAAAGGACACAAATGAAAATTTGCTACACATCATGTAAATGTAATATCGTGTAGCAACAAATAAACTTTTTCTAACAATACATACTAATAAGGTATCAAGGGCTTCATATGTGCCTGGTTCTACTCCTTCAACCATAACGTCAGGCATAGATTTAAATTTAAATCCAACAGCCTCCCCTTGAATATACTCAGCTCCAAGATTAATTGCTTTTTTTTTAAATCCATCAAGCAATGACCATGGGTCAAACCTGAAATGGAAAATTCTTTCAAAAATTCAACATGAATTTTCTTCTTTTTCCTATTACTTTCAGGTAGGTGGAAAATCATACTCCATACCATCCTTCATCTCTCAGTCCATGACATCCCAAAGCAATATCTTCGGTGTTAAGCCATGGAAATTTCTCTTTTAATTTTGTTGGCAATAATAATTCATTCTTGGCTCCAAGCTCCCTGATCAAATAAAAATATCCTCTTTGAAATGACACATTTTAGTTTCAGGCTCTAAAAATAATGTTATAAATACTCACTGTTGAAGTTTATAATTTTCCTCTAATTGTGTTGCACCTTTCTCAGTGGCCAAAAATAAATAACCAGTTGGTGTAAATTGAACATCAGGAGGATCATGCCCTTCAACATAAAGATGTTTTTTGACATTTCGCAGAAATTCAGCTCCAAACAGTGACATTTGTATACTTTCAGGTACTGAGAATTGTTGGCGTATTCCTCCTACTGACAGAACAGTAGATGCAGACGTGTACTGCAAAACAGAAACCCAAATATAACCTCTATTAATGTGTTTAATGAATGAAAGTGTAATAATTGGAGTCCTTACGCAAGGAACATTATTGGGTATTACCGTTGGATCTTTCTCAACAACGACCACATGAAGCCCTTGGCGCGCCCTCTGTTTTAACCAATATGCTATGGAAGAACCCATTATTCCACCACCTATTACAAGTACGTCGCAATGGCCCGATAGAAAATGTTGTTTCCGAAATGTTTTTTCTCCCTCAGGGAGGGAAAAATAATTTTTAACATCGCCCTTAAGTACTCTAATAGTCCTCGATACTGGATTCTCAAACTCTGAGGGTTCATTCGATTTAAAACGTTGACCACCACATATTCTAACACTGCGAACATTGCATTTTAAAAGCCTAACGAATGAATGTGATCCTAACCGAGACATCTCTTAGACTGAGTTAACTACTGGCCTTGCCTCTTGCCGAAGTGCTCATGTGTTCGTTGTTTATCTTAACAGTGAGATACTGCTTTATCAAGGTTAGGCGTAACACGTCGATCAAGCATTTATTTCATTTGCTTTCATATCCTCATCTCGCTCTCCTCTACACCCACTCCTACTTCCACGATTCGCTTCTAGAGTGTAAACACAAGCGGACGAAGCGAACACGTGCCACGGCTCAAGCACAACACAGCGCCGCACTGGACCAACAACCCATGTACAATACGATTTATTTAGTCGTGCTCTTGACCTCAATCAGGTGTTGCAGTTTCATCCAATCGAAAACGCATATGTTGCTACAGTGACGTCACTATGGGGACGTTTAAGCTCCCGATTGGGTAAAATCACGAACACCAGATTTACGTCAAGTGCATATTTAAATAAATTATAATTATAGATATAGACCCTCTGATGTTATATGGGTGCACTTAACTAGTTCATTTATTTATACAGCCAATTACGGAAGACATATTCTTTGTTTACGACATTTATGAGCCAGTTTATCGTATGAACTGTTGTGGGACCACCGTGATTTGCGGGGATCTGTCTGTGAATGTATTTCTCTTGTTTTTACAATACTACCATACTTATTAACAGCACTACCAACGTCAATGAAAATAATTGTTCCTCTATTCCACTTGTCGGTGTTTTATAGGCGCCAGCAAAAGACAGATACACATGGTAAATAAATAATAGCACATAAGCGGAGTGCCTATAGAATTGTTGGAAGTTTAGCGAAAGAAACTGCAATAATTTTCAGACTAGCCAACCCATGCGAAAAGCCACTACGCGACGGTGATTGCAAACAGTTGCGATTCCAATCATTATAAATAGCATTCATGCATGCTTGTGAGAAGGCATGACTTCGTTAACGGACGTCATCACCCCATGGATCGCCACGTGTTTTCACATTCTCTCAAGAAGACATTGTCTCTTGGTAAGTAATGGTAGTACATTGTTTGTGATTATTTGTTTCTGCTGCGATTTTTGGCGCCTGCCACTTCTAAGAATAGATGTAGTGTATACAAACACACTAATTTTAGAAGTGGACTAACTTCAATCAAATGTATACGTACGTTTACGAAAAATTCATTATTGCTATTCATTAAGTGTACTACATGTTTCTTGTTATATAGACCTACTGAAATGGCAAAATTTGTAATGATCAGAATGGTTTGTTTGTAGAGATTCTACTTGACTTTTGAGAAAAAAAAATTGTTGGATATTTAACAAATTAAACTCTTTTAGTAGTAAAAGCATAATCGTCTTTTTTTGAAATGATAAAATTCGATAAAGCGATTTGCAAGAGAAAAAACATATTTTCTTTGTACAGTCGCGGCTCATTTATTTGGAGATTTTATTATTACAGAGACGGGATTAAAAAAACAACTACAAAAAACTAGTGGTTCTGCAACATCACGTACTTTCTTGTATTATTTGTAACATAGTTTTCATTATAATACTATTTGAACACACATTTATGTAATTATTGAAAAATTAAAAGATTACATCAAAGTAACGTTTGTGTAATTTTATTCAGTGCATTTAGCTCTCGCAAAACCGTTTAAAGAAACAATGAGAAAACGTTTTTGAGAAGTTATTATGTCTAAAATTGTTATTATTTCACGCAAAATTACGGGAAAACTACTCATTAAAAATGTGCAAGACCTTATTTGAAGATCAAATTTTGAATAAAATATTTCATTGGGAAAAAAAATCTCCATTTTCAATATTTTAGTTGCCGAAGAGCCGTTGTCGTTGCCGTTGCGGAAGACGCCGAAGAGATTTTCGAAAATGCAGAGGATCAACGTAATTTTTTTTAAAAGCATTCTTCCCTTCATCAGAGAGAAAAAAATTAAGCCATTTTTGACAAAATTTTGAAAAAGTCGTTTGGACTTTGTGTAAAATACCCATTAAACCAAAACACCCATTTTCGCGATATCCTCCAGCTCGATCGTTGAATATCAATGTTAGTGAAAATCAGGGTTGCCAGATGTGTTTAGAGAAATTCCGCCATGTTCGTTTCAGTTTCCGCCAAAATCCCCGCTGAAACTGGTTTTACAATTTCCCGCCTAAATCGCTAAACCGTAAAATAAATTATTTCTTGCCATATTTATTATGTATTACTTTTTTTCTCAAACAAAATATGATTGGGAAATATAGTGCTTTATTGAACCTGCAATTCAATTTTTTAGATGAATATAGAAATGGCATTACTTGGGTGAAATTTGCAAAATGAATAACAATTGATTTACGGTATATATTAACTTATTATATAAGTATTTATTTTTATTTATTCTTGCGTAGTACAATGGATTTTAGCAATTTAAAAATATACAACATCTGTTCAAAATAACTTATTAATAAAGGTTAACGAAAACTGATGCTTTACTTATTTTACTGCTTTACTAACTTTATTAACTTCCGCCGTTTATTCCGCTGTCCGCGAAACTATTTTTTTCCCCACCGTACGAGTTCAAAATCCGCTGAAAACGGCGGGAATTCCGCCGATATGGCAACACTGGTGAAATTTCTGCCTAGTGCTATTCACGGACAGACGTTCAGATGAAGGGCCGACCGGGCAGACCAACGGACTGACTGATGGGCAGGCATTCTGAAGAACGGATGGGCGGATGAAGAGGCGTCTGGACAGACGTTTTGCGATAAATCGATTTTTCAATATCAAGGACTCACAAATCTTCGATTCTGACTACACAACGTGTAAGGGGAAGTAATTAACTACATATACAAACGAGACTAGGGGTCAGACTTGTCAACTTTTTCAACAATACGAACATTTCTGTTGAAAAATCGCATTTTTTCGCTGCAGCAGTACTTAACTTTGTTGATAGTACGTGAGTAGTATGCGAGAAAGTAAAAACTACTGAAGGCCATGACATATTCTCTTATGATAAATAAAGGATGTTGTCTGGTATCAATAACTTCTTTATTAACCTTATTTATTATTATTATTGATTCCAGACAACATCCTTTATTTATCATAATAATAGAAGGTATCTTCCTCAGCGATCTAATTAACATATTATCTGTGAATTAGTTGTGGAATGAAATAAATGTTGTCTAGATTGAACATTTATTAATACGCACATTTTACACATAAAGCGCGTTTGTGTGTGAAATAAAGGACGTCACTCAAATTTAATTTTTGGCAAAAAAATAATAATAATAAAACAGCTAAAAACAAACCAAATAAAACCAACGTACGTTAAAATTGTACTTTTAATAGTACCTTAAACATTTATTGGAATATTTACATTAGTTTGAGCTATTCACACTTTTTCATATTTCGACGCCAATGCTTTTGATGAATGAATGCAAATATCTTATGGTCCCTGGTAGCAAGCAGGTCTGGATATGTGTTGTGCGCGGCCCCAAGCACATTTATCGTCTTGGGTTTCCCTCCTAAAAACATCTCCAGCTTTACTAAACGAAACCACTAATTGTAATACAAAAACTTTCGTACAAATACAAATGAAAATTAACATTTGCTTATATAATTGAACATGTATTAAATTTTCACTTTCTCGCTGTTGCTTACACAACGTAGAGACTATTGGTATTGTGGTGCGTGATGATAGTATGGTATTATATTATTACGCAGCATAGAGAAATGCTGCGAGAAAAACGGAGAATTTTCGTCAGAAATCTCTTATTGCTGAGTGCTAGTTACGAAAACGTGGATAAATCTTGTCCACATATATAATAAATTACTTCCTCTAGCACATTGTGTAGTCAGAATCCATGTTTTGTGGGTCCTTGATACTGAAAAATCGATTGACTGCAAAATGACTTTCCGTCCGTGTGTAAACAACGCTAGAGAGTACATTTTATTAAGTAATTTCCACGAAATGTGATATTCTCCAATCGCTCTAGCTGATGTGCATTTGAAACCGATTTTAATTATTGGCAGAACATTATATTAAGCTCCTGGGACATTTTCGTGTAAATGTCCTGGGACATTTTCAAACTTGTTCAAATTTTTTGATTAAATTTTGTTATTGGTTAGTGTGAAGGGCATTTAAGAGCAGGTCTCATTTCGTTGAAATCCCTAATTTGTCGAAAATTGTAAAAGTACAAGAGGGGTTTTCTTGTGTGAAATCTGTTATTTAAAGACATTTTAAAATAAGGTCACGTACAATTTTTCGAAAATTTGAATGCTCTTCGTGTAATTATACGTGAAATATACTAAATTTTTAATTTTGTTCAAAATTTTTCCCCTTAAAGATCTGCACCAACAATGTTGATTTAGTTTTGACTTCGGATAGCATAAAGCATGCTTAAGAGGTCTATCAGAGAAAGGTCTAATATTCGTTGAATATTATAATTTTTGAAAATTTCAAAAATTCAAATTTTTTTCGGCTTCTTCCTACATCTACCATTACGAAGATAAACATTTTTCGTAATGAAATGTGTTCACCAAAAACAACTTCCAAAAACGTCGTGTTCAAGTTTTGAAAAATAAGAGTATTAATTTTGACGTCAAAAATAGACCATTTTTAACTTTTAAACAATTATGTTGTGAGAAAAACGGCTCTAAATATTTTCTTTAATTTTTTCCCTCGTATGTAATGCGACGATCCCTCCCGTCGAAATACGCCGTGACTTGAGCGTACCGAACCTAACGGAGTCCCGCAATGTGTCGAGATACGCGAGTGTGAGTGTAGTGGAGGTTGTCAGGTCGCTCGCGCTAAATTTATTTAAATGCGCCGAGCGCGAAACCAACCTGCCTCCTTTTCGAGCTCTGGAGATCTGACGGGAGGGAGTCGCTTTGGATCGGGATGACGCGCATGCTCCTAACTTATTAATTAAAACGCTTTCAATTGATGGTGTAGGTGTGTTGTCCGTCAGAATGGCGGGTCCACGTTTATTCACAATAACACTATCCTGTTACATGGACAGATAATGTCTTTGGAACGCTATCCCCTTCTTTGTCCATTAGAGTGACAGTCTTTGACTCCGGGCAGGGGCCTACTGTGGTAGTTTGGGTTACCTCGCTGAAGAGAATTGCTCGTCGTTGCAAAAGGAGAGTTCAACAAAACGTGCGCATAGTGAAGCTACATTTGCGTCCAGAAGTAAACAAGGGCACATCTCAGCATTTGCTCAATGGATCAGGGAAACTGGACAAAAACCTGAACGAGATGGGGTCATTGACCCGGAATCTGAGGTACATTATTTGTTACAAGTATATTAATTCTTTAAAAGAATATACAATATACAAATGTAAACTAAATCATTATAAATCACAATTTTGTTAATATAAACATTATTTTTCTTTTTGATGATCAGTATAATCTCTAATTGTATAGAAACAGTTATGCAGCAGAAAAGATTTGACTTTTAACTTAAATTTGTGAACGGACTTGAATTGTTCAATGTCATCTGCAATGCGTTGTAAAGTAACGTA